ATAATTTTCAGAATAGTTAACTGCACACAATATTATATATAATATATCGATATAATTTATTGCTAAAATTTTATTAATTTTCAAGATATATAGGCATATCATGATTCTCCAGATATTTTTATTTAATTTATAGATAATCATATGATCTAAATTGAATGTTTCTCAAGTGGTATCCTATTCGACATGAAAATAAATAGTATAGGTTTTAATATTATACAATTTCATAAAATTATTCTAATCATATTTTAAGAAAGAAATTGAGTATATTAGAAGTTCAAGCTGCAAAATAAGAATTCAACTGTTCTCATACTACTACACAATTGTTTTTTTATATAGGTTATTTTGGACAACAAAAAATGTTTCTATACTTTATGGGCATTATAAGGACAAACATTATTGATTTTAATTTTGTTTACTTATAGTTGTTAATAATAGATGATTAATGGTGTTGTTTGATATGATTTGTTGGTAAAAATTAATTAACTTCAACGTATATAGACATATCATGATTCTCTAGATATATTAATTAATTTATAGACAATCTTATGATCAAAACTAAATCAAGTTGCTCTAGTAGTATTCAATAGGAAAACAATTGGAATGACTTTTAGTATTAGAAAATTTTATAAAATTATTCTAATCTTATTCAAATAAATACATTTAGTAGATTAGAAGTTTGAGTTGCAAAACAATTATTCAACAATTTATCTCTAATAGTGTTACACAATTTTTTTTTTTTTTTCTCATAGGTTATATTTTTACATTAAATCCCTTTAGTCCCATTATCATACTATTTCTGAAACTTTCGTGGAAAACAACCTAAAATGACTCGATGAAAAACACAGATCATTCAACAAGAGTTTTCATTGGTAGTTAGTAATTCATTGTATGCTCACAGTTCCATTGATAGTTAGTAATTCGTTAATGCACATAAACGAATTGACTTCATAAATCGGTCGAAAGTTTCCTCAAGAGCACATAAACGAATAGATTTTATAAATCAATTGAAAGTTTCTTC